TTTCTGTCTCTGACTGGAGCCCTGCACACACAGATGACCTGTTCAGGACGTACTTTGTCTTTTTGTCCAATATTAGCTGAGCATGGCTGTGGCTTCCTCAGGAAATCTGAATTTGATTAAGATGGAAAAGATAAATGAATAGATATGAATAATTCATTCTACATTAGACCTATTTTTAGGTAGGTAAGATAATGTCAAAATAATATAGCCTGCCTTTTAAATTCTTTACTACAATATATCAAACTGAAAATATCAGCATAGTTCAGTCATAAAAATTCTATATATACTGAATTATGAGTCGATACAGTCACATGGTGTTGTACATGTCCAGTTAATGCTCATGATTAATGCTAGAAAATATGAGACCTGATACCAATACCAGCATTGGTAACAGTGTATCGCTCAAATTAACCAAACCTGGTTCATCTATACTGTACGTTCTAGTTTTTTTTTTAGTCTCAGTTTAGGTTTGTGAATTGAGACACAAAGTGAGAAAAGGTGTGAATGAGATGATAAAACATGTAGAATAAAAGGGAGGAGGTTAATTACACAGACATATCGACACATACTGTAGCATAACTATCACTGCTGTTTTCTTCAGTCTACTCAGTCTTTAAATGAAAACCTAAGCAACTGTTTTATTTTCCAGGTCATGTGAAACTCAGAGGTGGATTTTCAAACAGCTGAGGAAAAATCACAGTTCATTCCTGAGCTAATTAGTCTGTGTGACTTGTTCCTGCGTCTCCTGTGATTACTTGTAAACATACGTTTTCTTGACTCCTCTAGAGTAATAATGACCTGAAAGCATTAATTGTTTGCGCACTGAATATTTTATCATCCTGTTTTATAGAGAAATATATATATATATATATATATGCGACTCTGGCAGGTAGTATTTAGAGGTTGTGTGGAAACGGGGAAACTTGCAGCACTAAAATAGAACGTGAAACCATGTGACCCATATCACCAGCCTTCTTTTACATTCATTATCTTACTACATGTCAAACATAGCCAGAAGCAGCAGCAAAGAAGCCATTAAGCCTTATCTATTATTGAACGTTCACGGGCCCTCTAATGGCTCGGAATCGCTGACACTAAGATTCTTCTAAACTGGTATGATTTAACATCTATCTGGGCTTCAGAGGAAAATAAACTACTGACACAGGCACAGGAGCACGCCCAGGGCGCCGTTGTTTTCTTCGGCCTTGTTTTGTGTTATGACAGAGCCAGGTGACAACTGTCTTCGCCCCGTGGATGTTTCTGTTGCGTAAACTGCTGTCGCCCCATTGTCATTTAATGTGGGTGGGAAATGAAGACGACCCAGATGGCTGCCCTTTCAGGAATAACTAGCCAGTGCGTGATTCAGTTCCACTGTCTGCTCTGATACCAGTGTTGGGTTCACTGCACTCGGATGACCATTCAGTGGAGACAATTGCCGGTCGTCTTGAGTGGTTATCTTTTTCCCACCATTTAAGCAGACAAGCAGAGGCACTCTGAGCAATTGGCTGCAATTGCTCAGTTGTCGTAGATGAGAGTCACACTGTCAGTGAGTGTGTGAGACCTGCAGTGACATCCACAAGTTGGAGAGGTCAGCACCATTATTTTCAAGTGTGATTTACTTCACTGATGTAGATCATTTTACAGGAAACATGTCAGATCACTTTGTCAGATTGGTGGGTGCTTTTCATTATGTTTAAGTGTTGAACCTGCTTCTACAGACAGCGTCTTTAATTTAAAAGCATTACATTCTCCTGTTAGAATTTTGGTGGATTTTTCAACCAAACATTTACTGTTGGTGTGGCTGTGAGATTGCACCACTGAATTTAAATCTTCTCGTGGCTGCCTCACTTCATTCCTCAAACTATGTGATATATTCCTTCTCAATGAAAAGAACAAAGAAGTAATTTAAAGGAAGGAATTTAAAAAGGTGTTGGTGCTCAAAGCAGGAGAGTACAAGCATGAATCAGGTTTCTGAGCATTAGTATTTTAAGGAAGCCCATATATACTGAAGATCCACAACAATAGTGGTGTCAGGAAGTGAAGTGTCAAAAGTGCTGAAAACGAAATATCTGCGCAGAAATGGACTGCCAGGTTGAAGGGCAAGAAAAACATGAAGAGAAATGTCAATCCAGCAAGAATGTTAAAGAGAACCCGTAGAACCTTGACACAAACAAGCATACCAGTTTGTTGGATAAAAAATACTTTTTTTTTTTTTATTTATTTAATTTTTTTATTACCAAAGTGAGAGCAGAGAATCCAAAAATCACTTGTATTTCCACTAGATCTGTTTCTGTCTCTCATCAACCACAGTAACTCAAAATACCAAGTACCTCCAGACTTCAGTGTCCCTGAATTACCATGGTTAAATACAACACACCCCATCCATACAGTATTTAGTATTTTAGTACAGTGTTTTAAACTTAATAATCCTGTTTACTATTTCATCCGTAATGACCTCGTGACTGTCTGAGGCTGTAAACTACAGTAATGATCAGTTCATTAGCAGAAACTCAACGCAAGCGTACAGCTTTTTATTTTAAAAGTCTGTCTGTTTAAAAGTCTGTTTTATAGATATAAGTGACAAACTTTTCTTGGCAGCATCAAATTAGACAGGATTTTTAAATAGTATTTTCTACAGGAGCTGTTTTGCAGAATTTATTGGCAGTGATTTCTGAGCTCAGTTTCCTACTAATTTTTTGTGATTTGAAAAAAACAGTTTATAATTTGATCTAATGTCAAATGGAGGTTTACATTTAAAACTTAAGCAGCATTTGTGAAGTCACTTCAGTCGTCTTGTAAGGAAATAAAGGAGGACGACAACAGTTTGAATAAATGTAGAAATGATGTGAACATACTGTACTTTTTGTGTAGTAACTTTATAGATTGAATGTAATGAACTATTTTAGTTCTGACCCAAATATGTCATCTGATTTCCAGACACACAAATCACTGTTTGTTTTAGCCACAGTCATTAATAGTATAACTCCCAAATCAATCCTAATGGATTGCAGGCCTCTCTCCCTGGCTTGTAAAACATCACTGTTGTTTAATTATCCCTTAATTATACAGGAAGCAAAAGCAGGACTGGTGTAGATCTAATTCTCTCCAGCACAGCACAAAGACAACGGGTAACTAATCATCTGTTTATTATACACTTTTACTGCAGTAATATAATGAATTGTTTAACAGCAGAAATGTGTTACGGTAGCAACAATTGGTGGGATGATTAGTTCATGGCTAAAGTCTTAAATTCAAACACAAAAAGAAATCATTGTTTAGAAAAAAAAACATAGTTGTCTGTTGTTGTCATGTATGTGAGTGTGAGAGAGGAGGGTGATGTGTTGTATTTTTACATTATATAATGGACAGTTAGACAGATACACTGACATCTATACAGTTGTGTGTATGAGAAAAGGATAACAGGATAAAGAGATACAAGGACACGTTAAGACCCATCTCTAAGCTGTCTTTGACAACCTCTTATCATGATGTCTTTGTCAAGCTTTTAACTGTTTTATGTTTTCATTGATCAGTCACATGGATGGAGCCACACCTGAATCTGAAGGAACATTTGAAAGATACACCGTGTCAGTCCTTAGAAAAGTCAAAGAAGACAGTATCCCTTTAGAATTCTACAAAAAAATAACAATACAATTGAGAACTGTTTGACTTCTTGACAGGAAATTCTCCCAAGTTATTTTGAAAAGAACTTGTTTGTCCCCCCTGTACACATTTTATCCTGTATTGTCAATCTTTCCTGTTGACAGTACTCTCTTCAGTTTACACTTACACGGCCAATAATCACTTGAGAGCACGTGTCACTCTGAAGGACTATAAATGTCCAGCCCACTCCATCTTTCCTTCCATTACTACAGCAGCACTTTCTTTTTCAAGTTTATTGTGCATGAATGAATTGTGACGATTTTCTGTGAAGAAATAGATAAAGGTCTGTATTCAAAGATTCTGTAGGGTTGTGGCAAATATTTGACAAAATTTCTGACATCATGACACGTGTTACAATATGGATACATATCAATAGTCAATCAATAGTACTGGGTAATAGTTTATAGAACCATGAATCAGATGAATCAGTCTTTGCCACATGTTAAACTCAAGGTCCATGGGCCAAATCCAGCCCAACATTTCATTTTATGTGGCCCACCAAAGCATAACATGCATGTGGTATACATTTAGAGCAAATGAATAAATGAAATTGAATGAAATTTAATTTTTGATAACCTTATATTTCTATGCATGTGTGAGTCTTTTATGGCCACAAAAATGTATTTTTTTTTTGGAAACTATGATTTTTCATTAAACTACAATCGCAGAGGACCGAGGAAATGTCAATATCCCTAAGCTGGGCCTATGATTGGTTAAATAAGGCAGTTGTTTGTTTTTTTAAAATTTTCTTTTGGAAACTATGATTTTCCATTAAACTACAATCGTAGAGGACCGAGGAAATGTCAATATCGCTAAGCTAGGCCTATGATTGGTTAAATAAGGCAGTTTAACAAGTGAAATGACTCAATGCCTGAAACAGGGTTACACTTCTGGAGACTACAGTACAGTGATTTATGTCTCTCTGCTGTTTTCTTTCTAATTTTAAAATGTGTCAAAGACTTGCTGTCTATCCCACTGCTGAGCTCCAACTGAGCCAAACCTAGCCCACTCCCACTTCGAGTTCTAGGGAGAGTGATTGCTTCTGCTCAGGGAAAAAAATGTGCAGAGGTGGAGGTAATTCCAAAAGAAATCTGTGTGACTTTACAAGACTTTTGATTGTAAGTATAACTGGAATCAAAAGACTGTGATGGACTGCATTTGTACTGCTGCTGTCCTCATGTACCCTTTAGTCTGTGTCAGACTACCAGTGACGTACAGTAGAGTCATAGGCTATAGATGAATTTTCTTTGTGATGCTATAACTTTATCACCTAAGTTAAAATCAAATGAAAATAGTTGTATGTCATCTGTATAACAGAGCTGTCTGTGTGATTATAGGACAGAAGCCGGTTTATATTTGCTTCAACCTTCTGAGCAACAATGTGACCGTTCAAATCTGCGACCCTGCTCCAACCTTCATCCTTGATGCACATTCAATTCCTATGAGGTTTGTAAAATTAGGACATTAATATGTTGTGTTTATACTGCTGGTAGTTTTGTTCTTGTCTGCTGTTACTATTGGTGTTCAATGGTAACAGTACTACTGTATATTAGTATAAATACCAGTCTCTGTCTCTGCCTTAGGCTTTTCATTAAAGGATGAGAGGACATGATTGTTATTAGATGATGGAGGTTCTGGTTAAAAAAACACTCTTTATTTTTGGACATAGATGGCTGCCTCTGCCACTGCCTGTCTGAAATGTGATCCTCTGTATCATAGGTGTCCCTTTGTCCTGCCACTGTAAGTAGACAGCTGAGACCTGACCTCCAGAGTTACATCTTCAGTGGTAAGTCATGCATTTCCTTTGGCGGTGTTTGGATTGTCAAATGTAGAGCTCACTGCACGGAGCACTAAACTAAGCAGTTTGGACTGAGTCTGGAACATTACTGCTCTTAGCAAATAACAACGAAACCATTTACAAGTCTGTGCATATATACTCAGATATTTAAAGCAGAAATTTAATGACTTTCGAAATAAGGTGCTGTTGTTGGAGCTTATTGAAAATTGGCCGCAGTGAAAAATTGTATTGTTTCGTTCAACAATGGGCATATTATTTTTCATTTTGTCTGCTAATGCATTCTGGCCAATTCAAACCAAAATGGGTGAGATGGGAGGCAGTGGTTGAATAATGCTTTGCAAAAGAAAAGGCGAAGGTGTAGAGTTAGTAGATTGATACAGAGTATGACTCGTGTGTTAGGCGTCATCAAATATTTTCATTGCTTGTTCTTATGTCTGAGACTGTCTGTTTTGGATTTTCTTTTCAGTTTACTTTTGCCAAAAAGCCAGTTTAAAAAACAAAATGTTTAAATTCCATACAGTTTTTGTAACGTTGCAGTATCTGAGTCTGTCAACCAGGTTGAACCCCTGTATTGTAAGAGTCGAGACACTTTCATTTACACAGCAGCTTTGGTTGGGTTTGCAGACAGAGCTGAGTGTTGTGTTTAACTGTCTGACAGCATGACAACACAGGGCTGGGTGTAACAAGCTGTGGAGCAGACATTGATGAAGACCAGGTTGTTTACCTCAGTGAACACGAGTTCTATCCACAAAACTGAAAGACTGCTTTACAGAGAAAATCCCAAATCGGTAGATGTTGTTGTACAAACCCTTTTTATCATCTTCAAAATTACCTCTTTTTTAACTTTTGTCTTTTTTTGTTTTTTAAAACTATTTTCTGTACAACTTAAAATACATGAAGTGTAACTTATATTTTGATGCTTCACCTCCTGAGGCATCTTTTTAGAATGTTTCCTAGAGTCAGTGCAGACTGTGTTTTCTATGTTTGGCCATAGATTAAGGTGAGAATTCTCTCAGGTTTGGCTGATATGAGAGCCAAACCAGTGACTAAAGGAGAAAGTCTGTTCCTGCTGGGAGTTGAAGCTCGTCTGGTTATCTACTACAGGAGCTGTGATCAGGATGTGCAACCACAGAGGGTGTGAAGTGCAGTCTTATGTGCTGCCCAAATGCACCTTAGGTTATCTCTCAGCATCATAAAGAGCCACTGTGCTGCTCCTGTGTTACTGGGTAGATACTGATGGAACACATTTAACTGTTCCCCAAGGAACAGCCCAGTCATCTGCTGTAAGCTCAGATAACGTTCTCCGCAGCACAGTGACAAGTTTGCTAAGTATTTGTCCAACACACTGTAAACAACAGTTAGTTGTCACCAAACTCTAGGTAAAATTATTGTGCCGGACTTAGGTTGTTGGTGGATTTAACTTTTTGGTTTTACTGAAATTTTCCTTCCCCATTTAAGAGTAATGTTTAATCAGGGTGAAGCACTGAGAAACCATGCAATTACTGAGCCTTAAATACAATTAGCGATTCCAACAATTCCTTCAAAGGGCTAGCAGTGTTAAATATACTTTATTGTTCAGAAACAGGACATGTAACAACCCTCCTCCCTTGCTGTGTTTACCTGCAGCCATTTTTACACCTTATTTGTAATAAAACCACAGAAGAAGTTTTAATCAGATATATGTCTCCTAATTTTGTGTCTCCTCAGAGAGTGGGGTGAGTGGAAAGATAAAGCTGCAAGGTGTAGCAGTAGTAAAGTGGATGAGTTCGGAGCTTGGAGTCAACCATCCAGAGTAATGGAATGTGCACAAAAGAGATAAAGAAACGAGTGCAGACAGAGTGGAATGGAACAAACGAGGGTCAGGGGTGATGTTTGATAGAACAATAGCTCCAGAGTAGAAAATGAAGGTTTATAAGACAGTAGTGAGACCTGCTATGATGTACGATTTAGAGGTGGTGGCTCTGTCTGTCTCAGACAAAAGGCAGAACTGGAAGTAGCAAAAATAAAGATGCTGAGAATTTTACTGGATCAGGAATGAGCAGATCAGAGAGGCAGTTAGAGGTGAGGATGAGATGGTTTGGACGTGTGAAGGAGAGACACAAAGGATGTTGGAGTTCCCAGGCAGGAGGAAAGAGGAAAAGAAGCAGACCACAGACAACATGAATGGATGTCGAGAAAAAGGCGTGGAGTTGGTTGGTGTTTCTGTAGAGGAAGCAGGAGATCAGGAGGCTGAGACCAAGGCAGGTGATCTTCTGTGGCTCCCCCTTTTGGGAGCAAGTTAAAGGAGAAGGATATTTTGTGTCCTCCAATTCCTACTACAAACAGCCTTTGTCTCCCACAACTTTATTCAACTAATTCATCAGAATATTTTTACCCTCAGCCTATCAGGTTATAGATAGTTTTTTTGTCCTAAATGTCCAGTGTAGGTTGGTTTCATGATGAACGCTGAGACTGCTAAGACTTTATTTCCAGGCATTTATTTATCAAGTGCAGCGTCTGGCTGTAACAATATGGTGTGTTGGCTTAATAAAGAAATACAAAAGCCATTCATATCAGTGTTGTTGGAGGCTTTGAAACAGATTAATCATTTGGCGTTACGTTTTCATATCTTGCTAGGCTTCTCCAGTGTATTACAGGCTCTCAATTATTAAAGGCTATTACACATTCAAATGACAGACATATAATTTCATTTCCAGTATAAAAAATCTGCATAATTTCTTCTATTACCAACATAATACAGGCTGTGTTATAAAATTGTTCATTTAACAAAGACATAAAAACCCAACCCCCACTCCTGCTTAAGTCTGACCACATCATAAACTGAATAGTCGTGTGTATCTTTTAGCAAAAGGGAGCCATCTTCACTTTGACTGATTAAACTCACAGCACAGCTGATGAAGGCAACAGAGCAGAAAATGATGGCTGTAAAATGAACACAGGAACAGAGAGACGCTCCAGTGCACCAGTTCTATTGCATTTTAAAATGCTGCGGAAAATCTTCATTTTTACCAGTTTAATTTTGAGATGGGGGTATTCTTTACCACGTTACCTTTTTTGATATAGAGGAGAAATGTGACTTATACTTTCACCAAACATCAAAGAAAATATTAAAACCTTATTCTCCCCTTTGGATTAATGATTTTGTGATCATTTTTGTTGGGTCTGTGAAACATCTTACTGGAAAAGGCTGCAAAACTATTTCCCCTAGGTTAGAACAATCTGTTTATCCACCTCTAATTTCAGTGCTACAGTCAAAGGAGGCAACATTTGAATATTTACTATGGAGGACATATCTGGGATACAGTTTACAACTGAGCCATAAAGTAGTTTTCTGTGGTTTTCATTTTATTTTTATTTGAGTGTCAGAACTCCGAGGAATCTGTCCAGAAAAACTCTGGCTCTCTGACAATTATAGTTGATTATACCCTGACATACAGGCTTAGGGTTAACTGAACACTAAAGTGTTCTTGGTAGTTTGTCTCTGTCCCTGTGACGGACTGTGGAGCGCCCTCATGTGTTAATTGCTGGGATTCTGCACCAGTCCCTTCTATTATTGAGCTGCAGAAGATGAATGAATGAAGCACTTCATGTTTTTCTTGCCAATTATATGGTTGAAACTGCTTCCTAACTATCTGTCTTAGGAATACAACAGACATTAGGCCATAGTTTTCACCTCACATGTGCAAAAACGTGCCGTCTATCACTTACCTAATTGAGCCGCCAGTCTTTTTAAACTTGTTTTCCTCTTATCTTGGTAATGAGGCTATTAAACGGTGATCATGAGAAAGAATGTTTGACGCCGAGATAATGACATTCCTAAATCATGATTTCAAGATAACAAGAACAACATGAAATGGCAACAACAGCCTGGCACTGCAGCTCACAGTAAGGATTCAGTTTAGTACCAGGAGTGAATGATTCAAATTATAGGTCAAGACTCTACATGGAAGCACACTTCACTGCAGTCATCAGAACTGCTCAGATTTGTCGTCCACCTGATTTGAACTAGCATTAATCTGTTTTATACCAGAAACAGAAACTAAAGTATAATCTGTAAAACCTTAATGTCTAAGAAATTAATCTGTTTTATAAAAAAGGCAAATTAAATTCTACATTCTACACATACAGAGACATGTCAGACATGCAGACTAACATCTAAGGATAATTAATAATTTAATTTAATAAACCAGGGAAAATATATTTACATTGATTGAAATGTCAGCAGCATCTGAGTGGCTGTGTACGTCTTTATCAATGAAATATTTAATTATACAATGGCCAAAACAGTTTTCTGTCAAAACAAGACAAATATAGATGTGACAAATTAAAAAAAAAATTAATGACAAATTCAAATTGTTCTAAAGTGAAAGGAAATGTGGTTCATATATGAAAGAAAACCTTTAAAGCTGCGTGTTTCACAGCACACAGATAATGCTGTGTCATAGCACGGTAGCAAAGGCAATGTAACAGGTGAGGTGTCAAAGGAAAAGGATTTGTTTTCTGCTTCAATGGTCTCCATAAATTTGGAGAAAATACACAGAGGAATCATTACGTAACTTTTTTGTCCATAAACCTGACCAACTGTGACTTCTCTGTCAATTAGCTTTTTCAGGAGATTCTCTAATGAGTCATAACAGATCCACCTATGGAAAATATAGGTGAAGGATGTTCATAACAACCCACCAAAAGGCCATAAGTGTCCAGACTCTCCCATATCTCATGAATAAAGAGCCTGAGATGTAAATGTAACGGCTGTGTCTCAACCTCTGAGTTGATGTAACAACACAATTATGGAGGATTTGCATTTCTAAAAAAAACTCATTAAAAAAATATCTGCATCTTTACTCCATAAAAAATGCCAAAATTGAAGTGTTTGCAAAGTGACAACTGCAGAGTAGCTCTGAGTGTGTGTGTGTGTGTGTGTGTGTGTGTGTGTGATGTTGAGAGGAGGCAGGTAAAGAGGAGTCGTTCAAAGTGCTTTTCCACCA